GAATTTTACTAGAAAAAATTATTTTTTTTTCTCTTTTCTTTTTTTAAATATATCTTTATTGATTTCAGAGAGAGGAAGGGAGAGGGGGAAAGAGAGATAGAAACATCAATGATGAGAGAGTCATTGATTGTCTGCCTCCTGCACACACCCAACTGGGGATCAAGCCCACAACCCAGGCATGTGCTAGAATATAAATTCTTCAGGATTGGTTTAGTCCTTCTGTGCTGTTGGAAAGAAGTTCCATTGGTCCACATGAACAGACTAATTTTTCTCTTTCTAGGAGAGGAATTAGTGGGCTTTAGCATTACCATGCAGGAGGACAACCTTCTCACTGTTTCTACTGTGGAAGAATTTTATCCCATAAAAATTTTGTTTAATACAGTGAATTTGGGATCCTTTTAGAAGTGGGAAAAGGGAAAAAGGAATGGAGTCTGTGTAACAGTATTTGAAAAATGCTGCTAGTCCATGTTGGGAGGCTGCATAGTGGGATAAAGTCCTTTGCTCTTAATCCCAACCCCTGCCTGCTTTTGTTTCCTCGTGAATGGAGAGGACCCATCTGATATGCCTTTTTTTCTTTAAAGTGCAAGTTTTTTGATTGCGTCTGATTTCTCTTTTTATGCATCTGCAATGTGCTGATTTCAGATATCAGAGGAAGAGCATAAAGTCTGCAAGATATGGGAGTGCCTTTCTAGATAACATTTGTCCACTGTGTTTTTTTGCAGTTCATAATGAGATAGGAATGGCATCAGTGGACAGAGGGGTCAGGTATCACCCAGAGAGGATTTTAGCATTCATTCTGCTTGGGGTTTGTATGATAATATGGGGCTTATTAACTCAGATAATTGGAAATTACACAGCTGCATTCAGAGAGGGTATAGTTTCTAGAGTGAGGAATCTTGCCCTGGCCTCAGACCTTCTTGGAGGCATAGAAACCTGGTATCCATAGGCTAGCTTTTGTCCTACTCCTCTTGGGAGTCTGTATGCTGAGGAGATGAAAGGCATGCAAGGGATGGGTGGGGTTCCCTGTCCCCCGGTTTGCTTCTAGGTTGGGTTGCTTTACAGAACTGTAGGATTTTCCTTCATACACCCAGGGTATTAAATTGTTAGCTCTGTGGATATTATGGCACACGGGAATAATGCAGAATTAACTCTGACTGGTCTAAGCCTCCTTGGAATAAACTGATTCTTTCATTCTTTTAAGAGTTTTTATTGTCAGTGATGGTGGTGGTTTTTAGACTGCAGAAATAGTCTTTCCTCCAAATACTAAGTACTGCTAGCTTAGCATTTTTCTGCAAACCACAGATCACCTTGCCAATCTCATATAAGAGCAGTAAGAAATAGCAAAATTACATCTCTTTTTCTTTTTTGTAAGGCTACATGTTTGATCACTGTGATAGGACTGATGCTAGCTTATCACAAATAGTCACAGAGAATCATACTCTTAAAAATATTTTTTAAAATTGTCAAGATAATTAACTGTCATGCTCTGTGTTGCTTTTATTAAATTTACTCCAGTGTCATTTTAAAGTAATGATGCTTTTCCTATTTCAGTGTGTAGAATATGGGGAAATGTCCATGAAAGTTTCAGTTACTGATAGCAATAGACACTCTTTAGATAGCTGTTGTTTATTTCAGGTAATACTTCATTTCCCTCAGTGACATGATCAGCTGGTGATAAAATGAACTTAGGCATTGAACCTAACTTTCTTCTTGCAGGTTTCTAGTAGATTTCTGTAGGAACTTCACTTCTTTCCACACTTTTCTCTCCTGGCCCTAGAAGCTAACTCCTTCTCGAAAAATAACTAGGATTTATAAAGATCTTTGATGCTAGTTATTGTTTTCACAAATGGTGCTTTCTGTTTGGAAAGCAGGATCCTTTGACCATTTCCTTGGTTTATCTGGCTGGGCTTCCCCCTTAGAGCAGAGTAGAGCTATTTACCTTCTTTCTAGGGAAAACAGGTTGAGTATGCCTGACTGGCAGCTCAGTGGCCAGTGAAGGTTCTCAGATTCCTGCCATCTTTAGTCAGGACATGTGTGTGGCCCAAACCCCTCGCCCCTGACTAATGCCTTAGTGGGGGTGGAGCACTTTGTACATATTTGTAAATTCGCACCCAGTATAGTGCTTGTTTCTCCTCCAATGTGCCACGCCCCATGTAGTCAGATAAAGTCAGTAGTAAATTATTTCAACAAATGGCTGAGTACCTACTATGTGCCAGGCACTGTTAGTGGTGAGTAAAGCAAAGTGGAAGTAAGTATGTTACTTTAGCAAAAAGGAATAACTTTTGAATTTGTCCTCTTCAGGAATATGAAAATTTATCAAATTTTTAGTATTCATAAATGATCACACTGTTCTGAATTTTATATTTTACATAAATTATAAATATCTGAAAAATTTCGGTATCTTAAAAGAAAAAAGTTGAAATAATAACTTACAGCTGCTCTTTTAGGTTTTTAGTACTATACCAAACCTTAGAATTCTAGCTTTGTGAAGTTTTCATTTTGTAGGTACAGTCTACTTTGTGAACAAAGTTAAACGAGGCTGAAAGTTAAATTTTTGATAGTTCCTGGTTTGTATACTTACTGTATGTTCTTTCCCAGAAGTCTTGAGTGAAACTGTTGCATAAGAGATATTGACTTCAGGCTTTCTTCCAGCTTCATTCTTGCAAACATTGATCAGGAGGAAAAGATAGCCATTTTGCATATTGCTTTGCCACCTATCTGTAGTCTGAAAGGTTAGAACCAGCAGGGGTGGTGTCATGCTCTGGGTTAATGTTTGCTTTGGAGGCCTGCCCAGACCATGGTTATCAATGCTGGCCCGAAATGACTTTCTCGTACTGCTCCTATCCGGGTTCCTGAGGCTTGGGTCCTGTGGGTGTCAACTTTTCTTTGTTTTCATAGGGGTGCTGCAGACCTTGGTGTTCCATAACTGTAGTCCTGACACAAACAGTTAACTGCCATCACCAATTCAGGCTCTGCAGTTTCTGGAACAAGACTCACCTATCACTGAAGTTCATTCATTCGACCCTTGGCTTCTAAAATGAATGCTGTCGAAAAGGAGTACCATGTTCCCTGGACACGTTTAGAACATATAACTTGTTTAGAACATATAACTTGTTTAGAGCATATAACTTGAATTAAAAGTTGCAAAATGTTTTCTTTTAAAAAAATGTATGACGTTTTTATCTTTTGTTTTATTGCAAGTATATTTTGCTGAGTTGTTAGTACTGTCTTCAAAGCACCTTTCATTATATGACTAAACCTTTCTTTTTCTGTTTCTTCTAATGCCCTAATTATACTTGTCATTACAATTAAATATTTCCCAAGTTCTAACTCTAAACCTGACAGCTAATAGAAGGCCTGCAGGTATCTAGTTTTCTAATGAAATAACTTTTCCTTTCATAGTCTGTTCTTCTGATATGAAAACCATTCAGGGAAGGCAATCTCCCAACCACAAAATCTTTGGTGCTTTAATGTTTGAAACTTTATGGCTTAAGATTCTTAAAACTGATTTTTGTTTCTATAAATCTCGCTAGGGTGGCTAATCAACTAATTTATTCAATTAGTATATTAATTTCTATTGCTTTCTTCCTTTCAAATGCTGCCCCTCAGCCCGTCTGGCATGTTTGATTATGACTTTGAGTAAGTTTGATTTGAATTAGTATTTGTGCTGTGTTGTTTAGTGTGTAGAGACCAATATGCCTTTTTGAGACCTTTCTAACCCATAGTTTATCTGTTTAATTGTAGGTATGTATATTAGGTTAGGCTGGGAAGTTTTTTTTAAAAACAGAAAAACGTGATGGAGGTAACATTTTATTTAATAACTTCAGCAAAATTAAGTAAACTTCACTTTTATGCATTTTAATTGCTTTTAAAATAGATAACTTTAATTCATATTTAAATTGATTTTCTGGCTTTGCTTCATAAGGAGATTAATAGTTTAAGATCTTGATATTTTGCTTTGGAAAATTTAAAAATTGAAATTTGTTTAATTTCTTTTGTGTTTCATGTCCGGAAATACAAACTCCTAGTCTCTTTCCTATTCTTAATCATTATGTGTCTCAGTGATTATCAGTGATATAGTTACAGAGCTAACACGTTAACATAGAGCATGCCTTCTTAATTCAGTCTCTTTAATGCGTAATTTTGGAATAATTTTTAATAATTATGTGGCTTTCATAACTGCTCTATATTTCTTTTTGAGTCATCTAAGTTTGCCTTGTGGCAGGAGTATCTGCTCATGTTTTTAAACACTTGCTTAATAATACCTGGATAAACAACTAAATATGACATAGTCTAGTGAAGAATGTGGATTTTACTTAACCAAATAGTCTTTGTTATAGCTTGTGCCCTATGCAGTAGCTGATTCTTGGATTCTTTTTCTGTAAATTGAAATGCAAATATCTTTATCTTTCCTATACAGGATTGATCTGAAGTTAAACAAAAAACCACGAGCTGTAAGTATCAGCCAGACCATTTCAGAGAGGCTGGTAATATTGTTGATGATTAGAAAAATAATTAGAAAAGTGTCTTCAGAACTTGAGTGTCCCCAATTTGGGGTCACAACTCTAATTTTTAAAATCTAGGGTGTCCCTCTATATACACTTCAACTTTTAGGTGTTATTTACTTTCTTTATATTGGAGAGAGAAAGGAGTTATACATTTATACTGAAGAGAACTTCCCTTTGCTTAAATAATGAGTTAATACTAGCTCTTTTTTTTCCTGACTGGTGAGCTCAGGATGTCTAATAATTAGGGCAGAATAGGTGTTTCGGCCCCTTTGTGGATTCAGAAGACAGGTCACTTCCAGGTGTGAAATACTGTACATTACACTTGAAATAGAATCTTTGGCCACAGAACGATCACCTAGCAGAGTTGTTTATGAGATTTACAATTTTTTTTTAGGTTCAAACCAGTGTTCTGCTGAGAGTAAATTAGGGCTTTGTTTTTCTCTTTAGGACTATTAGAAGACTCGTTAGTGCAGAAACTTCCAGGCTGTAGAGCCCTGCTTCCCTCCTCCGACCTCACAAAGATAAATATCCCTTGCCTGCGTGCGTGGCCATCCACCTCTGCTTTCCCAGACCCGGTGCCTGTGACTGAGTCGTTGTCCTGCAATGTGGTGACAAGTCATTTCTGTAAGACCACATTGGATCATTTACCCTGTGTCATTCTTAGTAACAGAACTGCAGGAAGACCAAGATATGGTTATAATCCCAGCAAGTTGCTAACTGAATCTCCCTTCTTGGAACGAACATCTCCCCCCAACCTGGCCGGCACCAGCTTCATCTGTGATACCCATCAGGGAATGGTCTCTGCTTTTGTTTTATGATGAAAGTAGAGCACTGATCACATTTCAGAAGGAGGCTGTAAATACCTAGCATTTTCTTATGTTGTTTGTGTTTTATTATTTTTCTATTGTTTTTATCGTCTTATTTTCTTTTGGGGCTTTTTGTAATGACTTTGTACAGCTCATACCTTCCTGCTGACATATCTAATAATCTGTTCCACGGAGTTGCCAATGTTCTTAAACTGAAAGTGACCTAGTTTACCATAAACACAATGGGGAACTTGGCTCTTTGGTTTCTTGCAGGGGAAAGGTAAAGAGTGTTTATTTAATAATTTACCTATCTTAAATCTTTTTGAGTTGGAAGCAGTTTCATGTTCAAGGAATAGGAAAAACTGAAAAGCATAAGCTTAAATCAGTCCTTTTAAAATATTTTTATTCTTTTGTATAAATAAAATTTCACAGGCTTTGACTTCTCATGCTTTACTTTTAAACCTGAGATTTTTTTTTCACTTTTATTTATTCGTATCATGCCTTATGGAAATTTCTTTTGCCATCTTTTCTCTCTTTGCTGGTATTTACTAATTAAATAGGGCTTGAAATATCACTAAGGCATATGGAAAGGCTCAAAATTGCACTCAAAGCTGATACCATACGGAGTTCTTGAGCAAAATGAAAGATAGAATCAACGGGAGCCAGCAGCGCCCAATGGATCCCTCATTCTTGGAGACAGATATGGGCCCAGGAACTTGCTTATAGTTGTTATTGGCCTGTGAAGCAGTTGTAATCTACCTCGGCTGCACAATTGGAATCAACTGGGAAGCTTAAAACAATACTGATGCCTAGGTCCCAGCCCTAGAGACTGGGCCAGGGTACAGTCTGGTTATGGGGATTTCCTTTCAGAGAGTCCCTGGGTTCTGATAGGGAACCAAGTCAGGAACCACTGCATTAGGAGACTGGATGATGTGATTTAAATCCTGTGTTGTGAATCAGTCTATGGGATAAGATTTGGGTCCTCACCTTTCCTTTGACTCTATTTAGTCATAGTCCTTTGCTTATGCCTCTATCTTTGTTAGGAAAAAATGTTCCATTTGTGAATATTGGTAGAGCTGAATGTGGGTGGCGTCGATTATCAAAATAATTCTACCTTGTCAGATGTGCAAAAGCTTTCACTCTTGTTCTCAAATAAACTTTTTTTTTTTTTTGACTGTGTGGCTATTTAGGTGTCTTTGGCTCTGTCTTTTGTAGCAGAACTCTGGGGTATGCCAGGGAAATAGTTTCTTATATTTAGATTGTTCCTTTAAAAAACCAAAAACAATGGAAACCAGAAGCATTGTGTCCTTTGTCAGTTTGTCTCCTTTCCCGGAGGGAGGGGGAGGGATACCTACAGTTTCCTTAACTCTGTGGAAGGCACCTGGCAAACCTAAAAGCATTTCTCTCATAGTTTGACATTTGCTGGAGATACAGTAGGGCTGCTCTTAAAAAGGTGTATTATTGAAAAGCAGATCTATGTGCGTGAATACACCCCCATGTGTATATATGATCGTAGAACCAGTCTGCTTGACACTTTTTCGGTGAAGTTTAATCATTGATTAGGGGAACCTCCTAGTTTTCCTCTAAGTTGGCCAGATGTACTGGAGAATTGCAAGTCTTGAGAGATTGCTTAGGTCCCCTACATTGGGTGGTTTAGGAAAAAGCGCCAAGGGGGATACCTGTCTACCATGCTTGTTATACTTGTA